TATAGTCATTCAACAAATTCGATTTTGTATAATTTTTGGAGATCAAATCTTCCAACAATTTGTTAGAATTCCCATGGATTCTATTTGTGCCCCGTTATTAGCAGACCTCATTTTGTATTCTTTTGAAGCAGAATTTCTTTTAAAAATAAACCTTCAGTATGAAAGGAAATCTCTTGCTGTGGCTTTTAATTTTACATTTAGTTAGATCGGCGACGGTTTATCAATTAACAATATTAATTTTCATTCCTACGTTGATTTGATTCATCACATTGAACTCGAAATAAAAAAAGCACTACTTACTCCAACATCCTCTTTCGCACTCGGCACACCTCGGCCGATTCATACCTCATCATTTGATGAAGGTGACGGAATCAGCCGAGGTTTGCCGAATGCCTCTTTTTAGCCTGGTCCCCTGGCTCATCCTTGCCTAGTGACGCGGAGTACAAGCAGCAAAACAGGGACAGGGAACCAGGCTAGCCTCTTTTGTACCCAATCGCTTCTTCTCGGGCCTTTCCGACTAGCGGAAAAACAACCTATTACGTAGACGCCATGACAACCCCCCTTTTCACAAACATTGAAATAAATGTGGGAAGACCTCTTATCCGTTGAGTATGGAGTTTAACGGGAAGTTTCTAGTATGCCGGTCCCCAGAATCACGCGACTGCGCATGAGCGGTTATTTCCCCTGCCGTTGCTATGCAGAATGTAAACAAACCGCCATTTTCCCCTCGCTTCAACAAAACACATTCGATCGAGTGATTAGGGTTAGAGTGTATAGTTTTAAGACTGGAACTGTTTTATCAATCCAGTCTTAAATCTTCCTGATTTTGGGCTAATTCATGTAATTTTTGCTTACAAAAGGCACTGCCAAGTGCCTTTTGTGACCAAAAACTTGCATGAATCAGCCTAATGTCGAACTGTGCAGCTATATATTATCTTACAGGAGTAAAGCATGAAACATGTAAATTTTGAGCAAACCGTTAATTAAATATCTGTGCGTTGTCTGCGATCTACGGATTAGGGTTAGAGTATATATAGCTCGGATATTGTGACTGTTTTATAAATTATATGCACCCATGCTCGCATCTCCATCACTTTGGGCTTATTCATACAATTTTTGCTTACAAAAAAACAGGAAAGTTTTGTGACCGAAACTTTGATGAATTAGCCTTGGTTTAATACCGAAACATGCCCGATATTGTGCGCTAAGTTTAGGCAGGTTAATTATTGGTAAAGGCGACTTACCGTTTACTTGAGCTCGATTTCCCAACCTCTGAATGTTCATATTTAGAATATTTTTCCTTTCAAATCGATGGTGATGCACAATCCAATCAACCAACTACTAGTAATTAGTTACAACTTGTTAAATCCCTGCATTTCTCACAAAAATCTCGCAATTTTAGTAGCATTTCACTTTGAGTCCTATCAACTATTTCTTCATTACGTCAAAACACAAGTGACGCACGTCATGAATATTTATGAGATTACGTCAAAAACTGATCATGTGACCATATTCCTAAACAACGCAAGATGGAGTTTTACTTACTAAACAAGTACGTTATTTTACGAAATCTTTTAATTCTCATTTTAAAAACTGTGTTTAAAAACCAGTTTTTTTAAACCCAATTTTTTGCAAGGCATACGAATTTTGGTTCAATTTTCCGATTTGTGGCCTTTTTATCGATTTTTGTCGATCGCTCACGCGATCGTATTATAATGTACGCCGCCTTCGGCGGCACCTATTTTAGCACCATATTTACAGGGACCGGCATACTAGAAGTGTTCCAGACCCGAGATGATGCGATTGCTTTTGTACCAAAATCAGTTGAGAAACATAAAAAGGTAATTATAGTGAAATACTGCTTCAAAAAATATAGAGGAAGTTATTGATGGAAAGGCTCAAGATTTTGTGGATTAAGTTTTTGAAAATTCATATTCGATTTACACCACTTCTTGAATATGTCTGAAGCTTCATTTTTACAGTTAATATTTTGTGAGAAGTGAAGATATGGGCTTGGTAGAACATTAACTAGATCCTGCAATGTATCTTTTTATGATTTTATGAAGTTTTAGAATCCAGCTTAGGCACATAAAGTACTGTAAGATACTGTAGAAGTACTTTTTTTTCACGTGTTATTAATTTACGCTATAAATGTAAACAGTCACAAATTTTCCGCGAAAATATTTGTCCTAGCGTACTCAATGTACCATTTAAGACATATAGTGGCAATCCAAGAATTTTCACCCGCGAATTGAACAGAAACTGGAAGGGAACTGGAAGGGAACAATAAGTATAAGTTGGATTACCAGAAGTGGAATTGAAGCCAAGTTTTTTCTAAAATGCAGTTGAAATAATGAGTCTTACGAAGACGATATTGTTACAAGCCGTCTCAGAACCATAACATATTGTTCATGTAGTCTTCCATATATTCTTTCATTATCTAATGTGTACAGAAGACAGAAGACGGAGGGTTAAATGGTACGTATTTGCTCTTAATATAATTGTCTAATACGATTCTAATACATCTAAAACCATTTATCCCTTGACAAAGTGCTAAGATCCCCCCATTCATATTTAGCCCCTCATCTAGCATACTCCTAGACAGAATTCATAATAGAAATGAAGTTCCGTCGCCGTTTGAAAGATCGGGGGCTTCCTGAATTTTAATCTTTTAAAATGATTGTTTTGGGGTCGTCATTTTCAACTATATTACAACACAAGTAAGGATGTGTCCAACAAGAAAAATATATTTTTGTCTGTTTTTATAACATAAAAAAAACATGCTGTGACTTTTCCTTTCAAAAAAAGAACTACTTTACCAAATACCACTGACTTGATTATTATAAAAAAATATATAATAAAACAAAATATTATTAAAAATCCACATGCCAGTTTTTAATATTTTCAAACATGAATTAAATTACACTTTGAAATATGGAGATAACGAACAGTATTTAAGCTCAAAGTCCATTTAAAAAAAAATACAAATCGGGAGCAGAGGAAACACAGACCTCCAAAAACACCAGAGGCGGGATCAGGTGCCATGGAGGAGTAAGCATTCCCTGCCGACCGGTCACACCTGCCGTGTGCTATTTGTCATGATCGGGTAAACGGAAAAATCTGTAGGAATTTCAGTATGTACATAATGACTTATCTGTACAGGATTCAAAAACTTAAAAAATAAAAATCCTTACAAAGATACAAGTACCGGTACATGTTCTACCAAGCATCTTTCTTTACACCTGACGAATATATCAACATCAGTAAAGGAGAAACTTTAGCAGTTCTAAGCGACAACATATTTGAGAAAATGTGTTAATTTGAAATCACAAAATTTTGCTAAAATCAATAGTATCAAAACGTATGACCTTTCAACATTTAATTCAGCCATTCCTCTTGATAAATTAAAGATAAGGCGTTTTGACCTCATAGACAACTGCATCTTCAATAAAAAATGTAACTTGGAGACCAAGTTTTCTAAAATACCATAGTATTTCTCACAAGTACTAATTGTGCCTCCTGTTTTTGTATTCTTATGATTAAGCAGAAATTATTCAAAAACTCTCCCTTGCCGTGTTCTTCATTCCGACATTTAGATATATTTACAACTTTTTGTCAATTAACTAAATTAATTTCATTCTTTATGATTCGATGTACATGTACCCCGGTATATCCCACTAAACTCGAATAAAAACACCACAGAGTCTAACTCATCTGTTTCATTTTTTGAGTGTTTAACTAGATAGACATCCGTGGAGGAGTAAGCAAAGTAAAAACTAAATTTTATGGTTAACATGAGGATTTACCTTTTTTTTTATTGTCAACTTCCTTTATTTATGCAGCAAGATACCATTACCACCTGCATATGGTGTTCATATCTCACAGTTGATCCGATAAGCAACAGCGTGATTTTTCACACCAAGGCAGGCTACTGATAATTAAGTTGGTGTTAAAGGGTGTCAACAACCTGCATTAAACTCAATAATTTGTAAATTATATGGTCATGACAATGCCTTGATTGTAAATACAACCTGTCTGTTAGTTTTTAATGTTTTTAAAAGAAATTGTTAGGCCATTATTTTCATATACTGATTTGTCTACGTAGTACAGGTTACTCGATTCGCCCGATCAAAACAAAGGGCACACTGCAGGTGTAAACGGTCTACAGGGAATGCTTACTCCTCCATGGCACCTGATCTTGACTCTGAAGTTTCTAAGGGTCCATGTTTGTTCTGCTTTCAATTTGTAATACCTACATCTACGTATCCCTTAAATAAATATCATTACATTTTTCTTATTTATTAGACACTCAGATGCTCGATTTGTTGGTTGATTGTTGTTTTCCATTCCTTGCAAAAAATTTTCACTCATATAGAGACGTCACCATATACCGTGAAGGGCTTAAAATTTATCTTTACTCGGCACTCAGGGGGGCATTGAGCAGTGAGAGTTCTTTACTGTGCAAATGCCTAACGTGACACAGACCCCTGACTCAATGGGACATGATGAAATAGGTGAAGACAACAAACAACTAACATCTGGAGTAAAGAAGACGATCTTTAGAAATTACATTGTTTTTGTTAGTTTTGGCCCCACCCCTCAGCCTCCCTCGTAAATCACAAAATTGATTATATAGTGAAAGTGCATTTTTTAAAAAAATCTTTTCTACTTCTGGGTATTTAGCAAACATACTAAGTACATGGTTATGATATGGAAGAGTGCCTCTTTCAAAATTTTGAATTTCATGGTCTCTGGGTCAGGGGTTCTGGTGTTGTTAGGGCGGGGCTCTAATGACCATATAGTGAAAATTTTGCTTTTTTTTTTTAAAGAAAATCTTTTATAGCAGACATGCTAAGTGAATGGTTATGATGAGCAAGGATGTTTCTCCCAAAGTTATGAATTATGTGGCCCCTGGATCAGAGGTTCTGGTAATACGGTTAGGTTCTATTGATAATATAGCGAATAATTTATATTTTAAAACAAGCTAAGCACACCACAAATAATTTTGAATGTTTTATTTCTTGTCCTTGATCATTTGGTATCCAATCAAGATAAATCTGTTTTTAATTTCACAAATTAAAACAGAAAAAATAAATCCAAATCCGCTAATGGGGGTTGAAAATACACAGTAATATCACAGAATATCTTTAGTAAGAATACAACCAATATCCATCACATGTACGCACATACACACCCACATACATACACACATTTATTGTAATTGCAAACCGGGTAATAATACAACCATTGCTGACTCAGAAACTGTCTAATTCCCACCTTCTCTAATCACATAACCTTTCTTATCATTTTTTTAGTGTAGCCTTTTATTGTATTGCTCCGTAACTGTCTGTTTTGGGGGCCTGGTGGTAGATTAATCCTCTCTGTCTCTGACGGTGGAATTTGACAGCATGACAAGCGAAGCCCACAGAGATGAGTATAAAGAGGATGAAGAGAGTCGTCAATAGAGCGAAGGCGAGATTCGTCATATAGTACTCCCTCTTAGTGGTTGGTAAATCTGAACTGGAGTCAATCATGAAGCCCAGACTCCATCCAATCTCCGTACCATTCAGCTGTAAAATAAATATGTACTCAATCTGTATAACATTTAACTGTAAAACAAATAATTATATCAACCAAATCTAGTCTGTACCATTCAGCTGTAAAATAAATATGTACTCAATCTGTATGACATTTAACTGTAAAACAAATAATTATATCAACCAAATCTAGTCTGTACCATTCAGCTGTAAAATAAATATGTACTCAATCTGTATAACATTTAACTGTATAACAAATAATTATATCAACCAAATCTAGTCTGTACCATTCAGCTGTAAAATAAATATGTACTCAATCTGAATAATATTTAAACATTTATAACATGTAAAACAAATAATTATATCAACCCAATCTAGTCTGTACCATTCAAATGAAGAAAAGAAAACAATAGAAATAAAAACCTCCAAACTTCTGTAATATCAGACTGCAAACTAAATCTGTTCTTAAACAACTGTCAATAAATTAATGGTAATTGTAAAAATATATAACCTCTTCTATTGTTTTATTCATCTTACAGACATAAGTCATGCTTATTTGTAGTCATTTTGTAATTTCATGCATAAATATAAACTTTATATGTATATTGTTTACATCACAATAGATTACATACCATAGGTATTGAACATTAACGTAATGTTTCTGATGTAGCTTAGCTTTACAGAGACATGATACAAAAAGGTAAAAATTGAAGAAAAAAGAATTTTTCCATGACTCAAGCGAATTTCATTTAATTCTTAAAAGTATGAGGTTTTATAACAAGAGGCCCAAGGGCCTTAACGGTCACCTGAGTACATTACAACAATTTAGAGGATCCATAAACTGATAAATGAAGCTTTTGTGCCCAAAAGCAAGAAAAATAGTATGATTAGCATCAACAAAATAATTGGTCTAGTATCCATCTGCCCCCCATTTATATCTATTACCATACAGACTATTAACAAACTGTCTATTTTTTAACCCCATATTTTTACTTCTCATGGTGGCCTCTCTTGGCCTTTGAAGAACATTTAAAAAGATGTTATTTTTGTCTCATTTTTATTCATTTATTATTTCCAAGTCTACCTGATCATTAAAATTTTGAAAGTACTTTTTTTTTAATTATATAATAAATATTCTTGCATAATTCCCTTATTCTATTAACCTTTCAAGTACATTATTTACAGTGATTAATTATCAAAGGTGAATGGAAAAGGGGAATAACTGTGTTCAGCAGAATACAAGTTAATAGAGCCCTGGCCAGGACCAGAACACTTGACTAAATGGTCCAGGTGTTCAAAATTCTGGTAAAAATACCCTTGCACATGTTGCATATTAAAATTTTTACCCTGTTTGCCCAGAATATGCCCAGAAACATAGAAGATTTTCAAAGAAATGCATTTTCACTTTATTTTTAAGTAAATAAAGCCCCATCCTTACATCAGAACATATGACCCATTGGCCATGAACTCACAATTCTGGAAGAAGCACCCTTGCATATCATAACTTTACACTTGTTTCTTTGCTTTATAACCAGTAGTGCAAAAAAATATTTTGAAAGAAATTGTAAAGTTTGATCATTTCAAGTTTCCATATTTTATTTGTATTTAAAATACAAATCTTGTCATATTAATCTACCTCTATAAATGATTCATAATTCGAGTATTTTGATCATATGTATTGTATGTTTATTACTTAATGTTCTAAATTTGGATTCACAACTTTTCATGTCATCGTATGTAAAGTGAAAGTAGAACGAACACATGTAATATATGCATATTCTTTCATATTTAACGATGTCCTTGTTGAAATAATTGCATAAATGCTGTAACTAGAGCATGATCTACTAAATGTTTTAAGAAAATTACGTTTTTTACTGGTATTTTACCTGTATTGTGCAAACACGTGTTGGTAGCTGCAGACAGTCTTAGTTTTCTATTTACATTTCGGCGCAATGCATTATGGGTGAATTTTCGTTTACTTCTTTGATCCGCGCACCCCAGATATTTATGCGCTGACAGATTTTTCTATTAATTAGAAAAATGAGCTTTAAGGTAATTAATTATGTTGCATAATATATTAATGAATTAGAGTTATATTTTATTCGTATTTTAAACTTGTTAAAGTAATTTTTTATAGATGGGAACTATTTTCCGTTGTATTTTTCTATCGGATTCCGTTGCTTTCCAACGGATTCCGTGTTGTTTTGGAACGGATACCGTTCCCCGAGGGTATATAAGTGAGCACCCGTTGTACAACGGGGACTCCAGATTTTTGGGCTTTTAGGATAAGATGTAGGTGAAATTTTAAGAACTTTTGGGGAATTTTTCTTTATTTCTATTAGTAACTCAGTAATTTGAAGAAATTTAGCTAGGCCTATTTATTTATTAGAGCCGTTTCACAATATTAATTAATATGTCTTAGGGAAATTTAATATTTTTGGGAATTTGGGGTTAAGACGACTGCAGCCATTATTTTTTTTTATTGTATTTTTCTTAATTGAATTTTTATCATTGATTAAATTTTATTTGATTTGTTAATTGAGATTAAGCCAGAATAAACCATCATCTCAAGCTATTTAAATCTTATTTTAATTATTTACTGGAGTCCATCATTTAATTTAAAAATAAATTGGTTTAAAGTTAGTAAATTTCTGGGTGTTCAAATTACCGTTAATCAGTTAATACACCCCAGTGACTGAGTGCCATCCCGTTACAAAATTATGCATTTTCACAATATAATCAATAGAGCCCCCCTGCCCCCTTCACCAGATCACCTGACCCAGGGGCCATGACTTCAAGATTTTGGAAGAGGCATTCTTCTTTATCATAACCATGCACTTCCTTTGTTTGAAAAATACCCAAGTGCAGAGAAGAAGATTTTGAAAGATTTTATGCATTTTCCCTATATAATCAATAGAGCTCCGCCCTAACACCAGAACCCCTGACCCAGGGGCCATGAAATTCATAATTTCTGAGGAGGCAGCCATGCTCATCATAACTTTGTACTTAGTTTATTTAATATCCAGGAGCAGAGAAGAAGATTTTCAAAGAATTAATGCATTTTCACAATCAACACCAGAACCCCTGACCCAGGGGCCATGAAATTCACAATTCTGGAAGAGGCACTCTTGCTCTTCATAAATATGCACTAAGTTAGTTTATTTAATACCCAGGAGCAGAGAAGAAGATTTTCAAAGAATTAATGCAATTTTACTGTATAATCAATAGAGCCTCACCCTAACACCAGAACCCCTGACCCATGGGCCATGAAATTCACAATTTCTGAAAAGGCAGCCATGCTCACCATAACTATATTCTTAGTTAGTTTATTTAATACCCAGAAGCAGAGAAGAAGATTTTCAAAGAATTAATGCATTTTCACTATAAAATTAATAGAGCCCTGCCCTAACACCAGAACTCCTGACCCAGGGGCCATGAAATTCACAATTTTGAAAGAGGCGCTATTGATCATCATAACTATGCACTAAGTTAGTTAATTTAATATCCAGAAGCAGAGAAGAAGATTTTCAAAGAATTAATGAAATTTTACTATATAATCAATAAAGCCCCACCCTAACACCAGAACCACTGACCCAGGGGCCATGAAATTCACAATATCTGAAAAGGCAGCCATGCTCACCATAAATATGTTCTTAGTGAGTTAATTTAATACCCAGGAGCAGAGAAGATTTTCAGTGAATTAATGTATTTTCAATATATATAATTAATAGAGCCCCGCCCTAACACCAGAACCCCTGACCCTGGGGCCATGAAATTCACAATTTTAGAATAGGCACTCTTGATCAACATAACTATGCACTAAGTTAGTTTATTTAATACCCAGAAGGAGAGAAGAAGATTTTCAAAGAATTAATGCATTTTCACTATATAATCAATAGAGCCCTGCCGTAACACAAGAACCCCTGACCCTGGGGCCATGAAATTCACAATTCTGGAAGAGGCACTCTTGCTCTCCATAACTATGTACTTAGTTAGTTTATTGAATACCCAGGAGCAGAGAAGAAGATTTTCAAAGAAATAATGCACTCTCACTATATGATCTATATAGCCCCACCCTAGCACCAGAACCCCTGACCCAGGGGCCATGAATTTCATAATTTTGGTAGAGGTCTCAATGCTTATTACAATTATACCAACAGTTTGACTGCTTGATGTCCAGGAGTAAAGAAGAAGATTTTAAAAGATTGCATTAATTTTGATGGTTTTAGCCCCACCCCTCAGGCCCCAGGGGGGCAGGGACCATGAAATTCAAAATTTTTGTTTCCCTTCATCCATAGATGCTATATGCCAAATTTGGTTGAAATTGGTTCATGACGACGGACGAAAACAGATAGCAATAGGTCACCTGAGTGACTCAGGTGACCTAAAAAGCCAAATTTCAGAACCTTGACAAAACTACTTTTAAGATGAAAACAGGAATAACTATTGTCTGACCCAACAAGAAAATATTGTTTCATTCCTTCCTCCTGATTGTACGATTGTGCAGAAGACATAAACGCCATCTTGACCTCAAGCTCCGAGAAGTGGAATGTCAGAAGACCAAGGACTTTTACAGAATTTGTGAAAACATCTAATAAGGACATATTCTTTTCCTTTGCATGATCCATTCCATATTTACACATACCAAGAAACGAACACTCAAATGGCTAAAGCCAGTAAAGGTTGTACAACAGTATTAAATTTTGCTATATATTCTTACCAAAAATGCACAACTTTGAGTAGGTGGTATTAATTGAAAAACTTTTGAGAAGTTTCCTTTTCAGATCTTGTAAAAGTACCAAAAAATACATAGCCATCCAGCAAGGCACGCAAGTTTGTTTCGGTCGAAGTCGAGCAGGTGCTTGAAAATCAAGTCCAGGACCTAATCCCCCCCCCCCCACTCAAATAAAGTATATAGAAAAATCAGCACGCCCTAAATTATAATGAATCTAGTCAATACAGGAAGTTTACATATTGTTTTTCATCTCATAAAAAAATTCAGCTCCAGTCTCGTGTTAAAATGCCCAAGTCGG